TTTCTTATGGCTGAGTAATATTCCATTGTGTATATGTACCACATCTTCTTTATCCATTCATCTATGGATGGACACTTAGGTTGTTTCCGTATCTTGGTTATTGTAAATAGTGCTGCAATAAACATAGGGGTGCATATGTCTTTTTGAATCTGAGAAGTTGTCTTCTTTGGGTAAATTCCCAAGAGTGGAACTCCTGGGTCAAATGGTATTTCTATTTTTAGTTCTTTGAGGAACCTCCATATTGCTTTCCACAATGGTTGAACTAGTTTACATTCCCACCAGCAGTGTAGGAGGGTTTCCTGTTTCTTCTCATCCTTGCCAACATTTGCAGAACAAATTTATTTTTATTAATTGTTCCTTCTACATATAACCATTAAGGGCCAGCACAGGAAAGCAAGGAACTGCTCTTCTTTCCCCAAATCTCCTCAATCCCCTATCAGACTGACAGATGAGTATAGATATAAGAATAGGTATTTTAAAGTGCTATTCACATGGGTGAGATGAAAACATTTACAACCCCCTAAATAAGTACAATAAACAATATAGAGATTCTAGGTTAGAATGACTTAGGAGACATTCTCTACTACCTTGACTATATATGTAAATTACCCTTGTATTTAACTAAATCTGCCTCCTCCATTTCCTTTTCATTCAATGACACTCCAGGAATTGAATACTGTTAAAAAAAAAACAACCCAAATTTCCAAATCACTGGCTCTATGAGAAAAATGAATGATGTTGGCGGGTAAATTTAAAAAACATTACCCCGCACTTTCAGTTTGTAGTAAAAGCTATAATATATTTCATCAGAAAGCACCACTCCTAAAGAGTAATTTTATTCACTTAAATGATAAACACTGGGTATTTGAGTGGGAAAGGTTACTAAAAGACTGTGCCATTGTAATTTATCATACTACTTTGTTACATCTCCAGTGAAGGATTCATTCTTAATGATACCTCATACTTGAATTAAATTTACTGTATGTTAATACGTGCTTGCTTTTGTGGCAAGACATTACTTCTCATCTGATACTATCACCAAATAACTGAAATTATATCAAAGAAGAAGTAGGATTCATTCCAGTGAGTCTTGACTTCAGTGGCTATTTCCATTATTTAATCGGATGGTTACTGACTTTAAAAACTGTTCTTGACATTGAAAACTTAAGTTAAAAGTACAGATTGCTATGATATACATGTTAAAGTGAGTCCTTCATAGTTTAGAAAATATGACAAATTTTTTAATTCAGAGGTTGAACATTTAATGGTAACTGGAATGATAAGTGGCCTATAAATAAATATTCATATCGTTGTGGCTATAAGAATATTAACTTTATTTGCTGCCTCTGGCTATGTAAAGATTTTAGCTGAAGAACCAAGGCTAAATGGACCATTTGGCAATTATCCTCTAAATCAGGGGTTGCAAACTATATGCCCAGAGGGCCCAGGCAGATAACTTTAAATGCATGGCGCAGGAAGGGTCTAAGTGTATCTGCATTCCTTATGAGTGGAGAGGGCTATAAACTCCATACAGAGCCTAAAGCTCTGTTCAAGTGTCCACCTGCCACTCAGTGCCCGCTGACTGCTCACTGTGCAAGAGAACTTGATATTGATAACTTGTGATTTATAAAGGTTAGCTGACGTGCCTTTAAAATACTGTGTTCAAGATTTACTACCAAAATATATAAGTTTCTAAAATAGAAAGAAGTGAAGAGTACTTTGGCAAAAAGCACAGAATTGGGACCAACACCAAATAGGACCCTGGGGGATGGCATTTTGAATGGGTGGAATGCCATCATCTTGCTGTTCTCTGTAAAAATTTCTCCTAAAACATGACTTAGCTTTAATTCACTAAGGGCTCACTGGGAATAGAGTATGTTAGTGGAAAGGAAAGACCCTCTGTTGCCATAGAATCTCTTCGACTGGGAGGAAACTGAGGGGAAATGGGAGAAAGTTTTAGAATTAACTTTCTTAATATGTGTTTGGTATTTCTGGAATCATCAAGCACATTTAGAAAGCTTATATAATTTGTCCATGATAACCTAATGAGCTTTTATCTCCCATGTCGGGAGGCACATTAATATTTGTCAATTTGTTTGATTAACATTTACTGAGCACTTCCTGGGTGCCATGTGCTTACAGGGATTAGGGATAAAAACCAAGGAAGATATGGTTGCAGTGTAAAGGGGAAGACAGAAAGTAAATGTGATTAAAAGTTCAGGGTGAAGAAGTGTTATGAAGATTATGAGTTTGCGAATGACAATGATGAGCCATTATACTAAAAACAGCTAATCCGCAGAGGGGAAATGTGGAGGGGAAGCAGGAGTACCTAAAGAGGAAACAGGAGCCATGATCCTTATCTAGGGCTTAGTCTGTGCCAGGAATTGCTCTAAAAGCCTTCTGCTGCAAGCCCTTCAATGCTTCCGTATCCCTATGAGATCACAGTCCAGGCTACCTCGCTAGAAAGGCCCAGCTAGAAAGGGTGCCCCTCCTTCCCTCTCCAGCCTTACCACTGTCTATCTTTCTGGTCTTTCTTCAGCAACACCAAATTAACAGACTTCCCTCACACCTCATGCAGCGACTTATACTGCTGCTCCTCCTGTTCTAGGAATGCTCCCTACACTTGAACCTGTTAACTCCTTCTCATACTTTAAGGCCCAGTTCACAGCCCTTCCTCAGAGGGCCTCTCTGACCACTCCCCTTGTGCTCCAGAGCTCACTGCGGTTCCTGCTCACAGCATATTCCATGTGATACGGAAAAGGTCTGTTTATATCTGTCTAAGCTTATTTGCTTATAAACTTCTGATGTTGCTTCACATCCATTCCTCTATGGCTACCACCCGCGTCTTCATTAGGGTTAACTAATTCGGATTGTGACAAATGTTCTCATCTCCACTGTCTACCCCTTCTAAGCACTTAAATATCTCTACCCGATCAGTCTTCCCAGGCACTGAGCTGACTGTGTATTCCTCCCCTAGCCAAAGACTTTAATGGCTTCCTGTTCTCTACTATAGTGGTTCCCAAAGAGTGGAACATACACAATTTCTGAAAAGATTTAAGATGGTACATGGGAATGGCATTAAATGTCTCAGGATCACAGGACAAAAATTTCCTTTGTCAGTTTTCTTTCAAGCCTAATTATGCCCCCAAAACTTAACGTGTACCTAATTCTTGAGGACTCTTTCTAACAAAAAGCAGGCCTTAGGATAGAGCCTTAAACAGAAAACAATTTTTAGCTAGGCTTTAGAATTTTGTTCTTTTCCAGTTATATTTATTTTTATGGTTACATACATTATTTTTGGAAATTTACACTGGTTTTACACGTCCATTTATTTTTCCAGTTTTACTGAGATGTAATTGAAGTATATCACTGTATAACTTTGAAGTGTACAGTATAATGGTTTGACTTGCAAATATTGTGAAATGATTACCGCAATAAGTTTAGTTAGCATCCATCATCTCACATAGATAAAAGGAGAAAGCAAAAAAAAGGAAAAAAATTCTCTCCTTGTGACAAGAACTCTTAGAATTTTCTCTTTTAACAACTTTCATATATACCATGCAGCAGTGTTAGCTACATCATGCTGTGCCTTACGTCTCCAGTACTTACTTATTTATAACTGGAAGTTTGTACCTTTTCACCAACTTCCTCCAATCTCCCACCTCTGGTAACCAGAAATCCGATCTCTTTCTTTTCTCTCTGAGTCTGTTTCTGCTGTTGCCGGACAGAATGTTCTGTATATGTCTATTTGGTCCACTTGGTCTACACTGTTGTTCAAACCTGCTATTTCCTTACTGTTTCTCTGTCTGGATGATCTGCCCATTGTTGAGAGTGGTATATTAAACTCCTCAGCTATTATTGTCTTGGTTTGTGTTTTTCCTTTTAGCTCTGTTAGTTTTTACTTAATGTTTTTAGGTGATCTTATATTTGATGCACAAGTATTTACAAGTATTGCATCTTTTTGATGTATAGACCTCTTTATCATTATATAATGACCTTTGTCTCTTTTCACCATTTTTAGTTTAAAGTGTATTTTTTTCTGATATAAGTATGGCTACCCTTGTTTTAGGGGGGTTGCCATTTGCTTGAAATATCTTTTTTCATCCTTTCACTCTCAGTCTATGTTGTCTTTAAAGCTAAAGTGAGTCTTGTAGGCAGCATATCATCGGATCTTGTTTTTTTATCCATTCAGCCATTCTGCCTTCTGATTGGAAAATTGACTTCATTTATGTTTCAAATAATTATTGATAAGTAAGGACTTACTGTTGCCATTTTGTTAACTGTTTAGTATTTTACACTATCCTCCAACTTAATGATTTAAAGGAGAGTATTAAGTACATATTAGAACAGGTAGTACACAAACATGGTAAAGTCATAAGAGTCGTATTATCAGGCCCAACCTTCTTGGCCTGTAACCTACTGCTCACCTACTCAAACATTACGCTGCTTTAGCTTTCAAAAGTTACACAGGCATAAAGTCTCCTAGCCTATGCCACGCTGCTGCATTGTAGGACTGCTGTTTCCTTAACGCTATTTTTTAGAAATCTGACAACAATGATCGATCATTCTCTGTTCTTCAAATATGAACCACCTTCATGCTTGCACTCATGTTGTTCCTTCTGTTTTGGATGCTTGGCTTTCCGTCTCTGCCTGTAGGACTCTTACAGTCCTTTCACTCCAAGTGCAATCTCCTTCATGTAGTCTTTCCTTATCCTGCAGTCAGATGGATTTCTTTCCCTTCCACAGTACCAATGGCACCTTCTCTCTCCATTGTGCTGCCTGCCACAGATTTGGTGATATTCTAGATGTTCAAATAATTATATTCTCCCACCCAGCAGATCTTAAATTCTTTCATGGGAAGGAAAGGAAAAGCATGAATTCTATTCATTTTTTTATATTACCATGGTACTTAACAAAGTGCTTTATACACAGAGTAGGTCCACAATTAATATCCGCTGAATTGAATTTAATATTTTAAACAACATTCATGTGACACTTACAATTTTGCGCTTGATCATGAAGAGTGGGATTTTTGCATGAAGAGGGGTTGAGGATAATTCCTTATGGACCGTTGATAAATACAGTCTTCTTTTAATGTTCCCTAAATCAGTAATTCTGAAAAAAATAAAGGAGAAAGATCCCCATCAATATAATAACCATTTCTTTGGATAATCATCAAAATGATATAATTTATCATATAGGCCCTTTCCAACAGGGAGATCAAACACAGAACTTAAGAATTGCCTTTTTCTTTCATGAAGTAATAAATTTTCTTCCTTAAATTCAAAGTGCTCACAAGCCAGAATGTATAAATTCACTTAATATGCTAATTTATTTCAGTACTCTGCACTAGATTTGAACAGTCTTCCAGCCTATGAAAAAATTCAATTTGTATGAACTGAGAAAGTGCTTGCCTTTAATAACCATCTTGTTCCAGCCCCTTAAGCTTGTGTTATCTTGGGACATACTGTCACCTACTAAATAGGAAAACATTATGGGCTTCTTTCCCTAAAAATGCACCTGCCATTTTATATAGGCTCTTGGTCTGCTTAGAGACAGACACAAAACACTGACTGTCGGTTTCACTTCCTAAGCACATATCTTGGAACCAGAATTATAATACACACGTTTATTGCTCACTATTCAGGTCAACCTGCAATGATAGCAAGGACACTGAATTTCAACATCTTTAATAGATTTAGACCACAGCCATGATCACAAAGATTAGGTTTGCTTCAAACTGATAGAGGCTCATTTTTATGTTGTGCTTCCTTTAGGTCTCAGAGGTAACACAGCAGGCTTAAAATCACCAAAACTGTCGCAGGCTGCTATACTGTTGAATTGATGCTCTCTTAAAGACTGTCTTCTTATCAGAGAGTAGTTGTTTTTTCCTCCCGTTTTTGGCAATTTTGTCTAGATAAACTAACTGGTAATTTTCTATAATTAGTAATCCCTCAAGGAGACATTTCATTCAAATACAGTATTTGTATTCACTCAAATACAAGGTTTATAGTGCAATTAACTATTTAAAAAATCAACATAGCCTTTTGTATAGTTCTTCCTTGCCTCCCCTTCCCACTTTTCTAATCTCATCATTTCCTCCCTCTAAAATACTTTATATACTTTTCCATGGAAAAACTATCATTGAACAATGTTAAGAATAACTACAGTAAAAATCAGATTAGACGATTTCAGATATGCCCCAGACCAAAAAATTGTACCCTATCTGTACTAAATGATATCATAAATTCATTAGGAAAGCACTATGTCTGAGTATGTTGGCACTTTATTGACACAGGGAATAACAACAAAACTCATTCATTTACCTGTTCAACAAATATTCACTGAGCCAAGCAACATCCTGGGACTACCAAGGGGAATACAATGGTGAGACGGGCAAAGCTCCTACCCTCCTGGAGCTTTTTTTTTAGTGGAAAAAGCAGATTAAAAAAAACCCACGAAAGCATAAAGAAACAAACAAATTCAAGTTACGCTGAATGCAATGAAGAAAACATAAGAGACTAAACTAGAAAATATCAAGAAATGATCTACTTTAGATAGTAAAGCCAGCAGGAGGAGGTAGAGGAGGCACATGACGTAGGCAGGCTGGGCAAGAGCCAAAGCATGCAGGGTCTTTATGTCAAGGTAAAGAGGTTTTACAAATTTATTGTTCACAACAGGAAGCTGAGTCAACACTCTACCTCACATGATGAATGGGTATCATAAAAATAATTGTTATGGTCTCTTTTACTTCTTTATTGGGATAAAATTTATGTAATTGAAATGTACAGGTTTTAGTGTTTTGTTAAACATATACACCCATGTAATGACCACTCTGATCAAGACACAGAACACTTTCATTGTCCTAGAAAGTTCCTTCCTGGCCCTCCTAGTCAATCTTCACTCCTGAATTCTAACACCATGGATAAGTTTTGTCTGCTCTTGAAGTTCTTATAAATGGAGTGGTGTAGAATATACTCTTTTGAAACTGGCTTCTTTCACCTAGGATGACGTTTCTGAGATTCATCTATGCTGTAGGATATACCAACAGTTCTTTTTATAAATTGCTTAATCTTATATGACTATTCAATTTATCCATTTTCTTGTTTGATGGACATTTGCTTCCATTACTGAATAAAATGTGAATTTTCATATGAATAAAACCTGTATGAATATGCTTGGAGAGTCTTCCTGTGGACATGCATTTTCATGCTCTTGATTAGGGGAGGGAATCCTGGTCATTGGGCAAGATGTGTGTGTAACTTTAGAGAAACAGTTCCCCACAGCGCTCTAGGAGCTCCATAGCTTCACCAGTTTTTGAGGCTATCAGACAGTAATGTTAGCCAGTGCTAATGGGTATGAAATGGATAACATTGTGATTTCATTGCATTTCTCTTATGAAAAATGACAATGAGTACTTTTCCATGTGTTTACTGGTGTATGTTGAGGAGTGTCAAGTTGTTTGCTCAATTTTTAGATTGTTTTGTTATTATACTTTTGAGAGTTCTTCACATATTTTGGATACATGTCCTTTGTCAGATATTTCCATTGTGAATATATTCCTGCCTATTGTCTTAATGGTATTTAAAAAAATCTTTTATTTGGAAATAATTTATAACAGAGAAAAGTACCAAGAAAAGTACACTGAAACTCCTACATGCTTTATCTAGATTAGCTTAATGACTTTTGATTAACCAAAGTTTTTAATTTTCATGAAGTCCAGTTCATCGTTATTTATAGCAGTGCTTTCTAGGTCCTAAAAAATCCTTGCCTAGCCTGAAGCTGTAAAAATGCTTTTCTGTGTTTCCTTCTAGATCTTCATTGTTTTAGTTTTCATATTTTGTTTATGATCCATCCACATTAATTTCTGTGTATTGTGTGAGGTGGTGGGTGTGGTTCTTTGCTTTCCGTACGTTTACCCAGTTGTTCCAACACCATTTGTTGCAGACTGTCCTTTTCTCACTGAAATGCCTGGGTACTTTGTTGAGAATCAACTGACGATACATGTGTGCGTGGATAAATTTCTGGACTCTCAAACAGTATCAAAGGCGGCCCTGGGTAGCACTCAATATGGGATGGTATCCAAGTGAGCTTGATCAAACCAGCCAGAGCAGCTGCAGCTAACATCAAAGACGAACACAGAGGACGTGACACAGAACGCTGGAATGAGCTGCCACACTGACAATACCAGCATGCTTGCTGCTGCTTAGCATTATTCTGTCCTTTTGTTGTTTTACACCTTTGCTGATGCATTTCCCTTGGAAAGCCCCTTCTCTCATTATGCCAACTGAAATTATATTCATCCATCACAGTTCAGGTTGAAATGCCTCCTCCTCCTTGGAAACATCTTGGATTTCCAAATGAAAAATAATCACATCTTTTTTTTTGACTCACCACAGCATGTTTTCCAACCTCCATTACTGATTTTTTTTTCATTCTCCCTTGGTGGTCTAGTCCACTTTATAGGCCATAATCTGTCCACATATAGTCCACTTTATGGGCCATAATCTGATGCAAGTATGCTCTTTACCTTTGTTTTCACAGATGAATAACACATGATCCCATGTATTTCAGTTTTACCACTTGCTAAACATTCTAATTGAGTTTAAAAGGCTAGAATTTGGTATTCCAAAGCCCATTTTAGAGTTTAAAGCAGTCTGTCATTCAAATTCCACAAGTCTGAAGGCCCTGAAAGGTTTGGCGATTTGTAAACTTCCTAGTCTACACATGTACAAGCACAAGAGAGGGGCCTCTTATGCCTCGGTTTCTCCATCAGTAAAACAGCAGGACATAATAGTATTCATCAGACTGCAGTGAGGACTGCATAAGTGAATATATGAAAAATGCTTAGAGCAGTGCCTGGAACACAGAAAGCTCTACCTAAGTCCTAACCATCATCAACTCAGGTGGCTGTGGATCACCTAGTGAACGCTGTGCATTTGATGTTTAATTTCTTAATTACTAAATTTGAGTCGTTTATATATGACTACATCTTCTATCAATGTCCCAACCTCCACGCTGGAAAACAGAAATGGGTGGACTTATGGGCCATGGCATCTTTCATCCTGCTGCAGTGAATCGTGGTTAAAAACTATGGGTGTCACCATTGCCTGTTGCCTACAGTCTGTCTCTTCTACTAGCCTAGAGGCTCCCCGGGGGCTAAAACCACATCCTAGTTATCACAGTACTCTCATGGGAAGTACTTGCTGAACTTTCTTTGTTGAAGCCCTCCTGGAGTCACATATTTGCTCATCTATTTACTGAGCACCTACACGGTGCCAAGGCTAGGAGACATTGGGGATAGCACAGTGAATGATACAAAGTCGCTGCACTTATGAACAGAGGAAGACAGTATAAACAAACAAGTGCACATTGAAGCTCTCAATAAAAGCTGTGAGGAAAAATGAAGTACAGCAATGCAAAAGAGACAGATGGGGTGGGAAGTGTTATTTTAGAAAAGTCAGTTAGGGAAGGTCCCCCAGAGAAGGCACCATTTGAGCAGAGTTGAACGAAGCAAGTTTGGAAGCATGCAGGTATCTGAAGCGCATTCCAGACTGCATACTCCTGAGGACTGTGTGAAAAGTCAGAAGGAAGATTTTTTTCCTCTCTATAGTGGATCTTTCAGTGTAACCGAACAAATATTTATTAAGAAAGATCCACCTTCCTTGGCTGTAAACCTCAGTAAAAACCACACAATGGGTGCGTGGCATGATTTTACTCTCACGTGGGTCAGGTTTTGGTTTGCACAAAACAGTTCTCAATTAAATCTAACCTTTATGGCTCTAATCTCTGCTGATATTAGGACTAAGGCACTTATAAAGTGATAAGGATTTATTCTACTGTCTCTGCAAAAATAAATATGCAAACCTTCCCTATCTCATAATCAAGAATAGTTGGTTTTGGAGGGAAAACAAAATCATGTGCTAAGCTTAAATGGTTCTGAAGCAAGCTGAATTGCTACTTTAAAAAAATTAAAATTAGTCATTCATGAGAGAGAGAGAATATAAATGCATATGTGTGTCTACTTAAAAGCTTCATTACGCTCATGTGCTTTTTTGGGGACAATTTAGTTGCTGTAAGGAAGGCTGCTTATAAAACAGCTCTTCAGTTGTCAC